GAGAGAGGAAAAAAGGAGAAGAAGGCGAGCAGATCGGGAAAAGGAAAGGAAAAAGGAGAGAGTAGGAGAAGAGGGAGAGAGAGGAGGGAAAGGATAGAGGAGAGCACGGAAGAGAGCACAGGAGGAGAAAGAATTGGAAGAGAGAAGAAGGAGATAAGAAGAAGGAAGGAGGACGGGGAGAAGGAGAAAGCTAGGAGGAGAAGAGAGGAGGAGAAAGAAGAAGAGAAGAATGGAGGGTTTTTGTTTGCACATCTCTAGAAAAAAAGTTATTTAAAAAAATAATTTTGGGGGGCAATCTTCACATTTAAAACAATTCAAATTTGGCGAAAATCTTTTCGTAATAGGCTTAAGAGGATGCCGGATTACCGACAGAACGCGAATATTAGTAGACTTGCAGAATCTTTTTAAAAAGGTATTGTTAGTGGAAATGGATAAAGAAAAGGACAAGGACGAGATATTGGAGAAAGGGAGTGAGATAAGGAGATTGTGGAAGATAGGCGTGGACGAGGACTTAACGATGGAGGAGAGAAGAATGAGATGGAGGATGGTAGAAAAAGCGAAGAAGGAAAGAGGGTACGGAAGAAGCGTGGTGGTAGGAAACAGAAGGATCTGGATAGATGGGAGAGAATGGATATGGGACGAGAGGAAGGAGAGATGGAGGATGAAGAGAGAGGAATAAGAGAGAGGAAACGGAGAGGAAAAGAGGGACGGAAAGGAGAGAAGAGAGAGAAGAAAGAAGATAGGGGGAAAGAAGGGAAGGTGGGGAAAGGGGTAGTGGGAGGAAGATGGGGGGACGAGAAAGGGGAGGGAGGAAAGTGTGTAAGGTCGCAAAGGGCCAAGTCGGGTAAAGGGTGGAAAAATAGAGGAGTTTGTAAGAAAGTGTAAAGGTTTGGGTACGTTCCGGTCAAAAACGCCTTCAAATCTCAAGGGGAAGAATAAACCATACATACATAGTTAAAACAATCCGCACTCGAGAGATGGGTAGGGTTGGCCCCCCAATATTAGAAAAAATTAAGTTTTTTTATACGGTTTGATTATACATTGTTTGCACATGATTGCACATTTTTTATTTTTGTTTGCACACCTCTAGTAAAAATGTTATCCAAAAAAAATTTTTGGGGGGGCCAACTTCACATTAGCCCCCCAACAAAAATGATTTTCAATAGACCTAATCGATAGATTTTCGTTTGCACATTTCAAAACAATTTGAATTTTTGTTAGCACACCTCTAGAAAAAAAGTTATTTAAAAAAATAACTTTGGGGGGCTATCTTCACATTTAAAACAATTCAAATTTGGCGAAAATCTTTTTGTAATAAGCTTAATTCGTAGATTTTCGTTTGCACATTTCAAATTAATTTGAATTTTTGTTTGCACATCTCTAGAAAAAAAGTTATTCACAAAAAACTTTTGAAGAAACCAACCTTACGTTAGCCTCCCAAATTTTATAAAAAAAATTCAAATTGATTTGAAATGTGCAAACGAAAATCTACGAATTAAGCTTATTACGAAAGGATTTT